ATGGTCCGTTTGACATAACTTTTGTTTTTGCTTCTTGTAAATATTGTTTTGGTTAGACAAAATATTTTTAGAAAGTTATTCAAATATGTCCTAAAGCAACTCCTAAATATCAAAGCAACTTTTGATTTTTCGAAAACTTATCAAATGGGCCCTAAGTCCCTAACTAGTGAGCATAATTTTCTCTAGTTAGAAATCCTATTTTGTGGAAAATGTTATAGTGCCCTTTTTTTCATTTTTCTCTTTTAAATGTGATCAAAGGATTTCACTACTTTCTCCTAAAAGGAAGTTCAAACTTAAATCGTCAACTTGGTAAGATTCGCTCTTACTGCTTGAACTAGACCTTGGCCTTGTGAAAGATATTTTAATACTTAGTTAAGAGTTCTAAGTTTGCATGTTACTTTGATCCTCAAATTTAAGAAGTGTTCGAATATATTGGAATCCGATTCACAACAGTTCAAACTAAGCCTAGATGCATAAAGTTCGATCTAGACCAACCAACTCATTCTAACACTCATTGTAGACAAAAAAATATGATACATTCTCGAACGCAAAATAAAGCATCAATAAATTTTATACTTCTGGTCTTTCTAGTTTTTATTTCAACCAAACATTTACTGCCCATTTGATAGTGTTTTTAGAAGTCAAAATTTATTTTGATAATAAAAAAATAATTTTGAATAGGTTTGAATTATTTTTTAAAATTACTTTGCTTGATTAGAAGATTTTTTATTTTTATTTTTAACAAAAAGATGATCTAAGAGTCCGTTTGATTGTAAGGAAGAAATTTGGGTGGAAAGAAAATGAATTTCAGGGAATTTAATTGCCTAGAATTCATTTTACTAGGAATTGTCAATTAATTGTATTTGATTGATATAATTTTTCATCTGAAAAATGTTAAAATTTTAGATCTTTTGGTATTCGTTTGACTTTATTTTTCATGAAAATTGTCCATTAAAAGGATAAAATTTATTTCCATTACAAAAAAAAAGTTGAAAAACCATTTCTCACCAAAACCATGGGAAAATGAATTCCTCAAAATCAAGAATTGTGCACTGTGGGCCAAAATGTGGAAATTCAATTGTCAAGAATTGTTGGCTAATCAAACATGTAATTTGTATGGAAATGAAATTTCTTTTTTCATTTTTCATGGAAAACCACCTCAATCCAACACGGCCTAAGTCCCTAAGAGTATTAAACGGCTATCTTGGGAAACTCTTCTACATCTACAATTAACAAAAACAATGTCAAAACAGGCCAGCAATATACGCTTGG